TCTTCCAACGGGATCTTCTGTCCATTATGTTTTCTAACAGGTTATAAATTGGAGGAAAGTCATTGTTGAAAATGATTGCTATACTTTATAACTCACCACCTTGCTGAACTTTGATTTCTAATAGTTTTTCAGGGGTTTCTCTTGGGTTTTCCTCGTCTCACCAGAAGGCAGTGCTTCTCCGTTGGTGTCTGGGATATTGCAAAGCTCTGTCACTCTAGGAACACACTCTTCCTTGCAGCCTTTTCTTTCCTTCTCTTTTCCTCTAGACCTTTGCATTTTCCAAGTTTCAGTCCTTCAACCTTGTACTCAATGCACAGCCTCTTCCTCGGAGAGTTTAACCACTTTTTAAAAATAGTTTCATCCTCAATGCCAATGACTCCTGAGTCTGTTTTGAGCCTTCACTCTAATTCCGAATGTCGAAAGGGTATTGGATTTTTCTAGGACATCTCAAAATCTGTTTATCTACAACTGAAAAAACTGGTTACTATAGGTTTCCTTTATGTCAATTGTAGTATCCATTTCCTGTGTAAGTTTAAAATTAAAAAAAAAATTAATTCCTTATTCTTCGTTTCCTACTTCCACAAGTCTTTTTTTTTCTTCTTCCAAATGTCCCATACTCATCTACTTTTTCCGTCTAGTCACACTGAGTACAGGTCATTTTCATCCCTCTGGACTATTATGACCACTTGCCAAATGGTTTCCTTGCTCCCAATCTCCCCTTCACTCATTGGTTCATCTATTGAACATTAATTGAGCTTGTCCTATGTGCCAGGTGTGAGGTACAGATCAATGACAGGTGCCCTGCTCTCAATGAGTCCAGATGAATGGGAGAAACAGGTAAACCAACAATCACAATATTGTGGTGGTGTGTGCCATGGCACAAATATAACACCAGGTGCCACCAGAGTATAGAAGAGGAAGGGTTAAGGACAGCTCTCTAGAAGAGGTAATGTTTGAAGATTAGTGTGAATTGGTTAGGAATTTAGCCCTGTGAGGTTGTTAACTCTCTTTGATTAAACTCTTCTTGAGAATTTTTTTCTTCTGAATGCAAATTTTCCACATATTTCATCTTTCATAGCAGATTTTAAGGTTCTTAAGATGCTATTTTCATATTTTAATAATTGTAATTCAAGCATTGAATCAAATTTCAAGGTAATGAATGACTAGTTTTACTAAGAAATTGAATGTCAGGTACTAATTTGCTAAATGTTTTTCTCTGCCACAAATGTATAGTCATATTTCAAACACTATACTGTATAGATTTTTTGTGATAGCATTTTGGAGGTGAACAGGGTTCTCATAGTTTATGATGCTGTCCTAGCCCAACCAGGGACAGACCTGTAATCTGACAAAGTCAGGTTTAATAACCCACTGCAATGAGAGAGACCAGAGGACCAAACAAAGGATAGAGTTAATATAGGATTTGGGGAAGGGTGGATATAAAATTTAAATGAACCAGTATTTTACAGGCTCAAAGCAAAACAGGGCTCATGTAAAAGGGTCAGTGTCAGATCTGAAGTGCAAAAGTGGCCTCAGAGTGTTGTTTTCTTGGAAATTACAAAATTCAGACGTGGAATGTTGTGTCCACACCCCCTTTTTGGCAGCTTTGCATCTGGTTTGTAAATTAGGCTGCTTCTCTGTGTCAAAGTGACTTGGATTCTACAAGCAAAAGTGGAACGTTTTATTCCTATTTGGTATAATTCCAAACAGAAAAGTTTCTTATAATCCTTAATTTTAGGGAACAAAGGTTTTCAGTGAGTAAGAAAGCAGTGGTCGTTCAAAGAAGAAGGTTGTGTTGATACTTTACAGCTGGAATGTGTCATAGGGAGAGACATTCTTGTTAATTTTGTAGCTGCCTTTATCTGTGTCTTTATACTAGTCTGGGCAATGGCAGGGCAGATATTTAACTTTCTCAGTCCCACCAAATTTTTACTTTTTTAATCAATGCTCACCTTAGGGCTGGCCGGTTAGCATAGTTGGTTAGAGCACAGCCTTATAACACCAAGGTCACCGGTGATCTGGTACCGGCCAGCCACCAAAAAGCAAACAATGCTCACATTACAATAAAGCAGGATCCAATGACAAAGGGCCGAGCGGTGTGACGAAGCTGAGCGCTGCGAGCGCGAGCTGCTTGCTTATGCTTATGAAATTGTCCACGATCATCTTTTCACGTATCTGGGCTGTGAATTTGCTGAGAGCCGGACCTTGGAGAGATTCCCTTTGTCCTGCCAGTTCCCGGCACACAATGTTGAGTGAATTCACGGTTGAGTCATCGGGGTTGCTCACTCCCAAGCTTTTACCAATCTGCAACTCTTTCCACAGATCTAAGATGGGGGTAGCGAGCGCCACCTGTCGCCTGACCAGCATGTCTTCAGAATCCCACGGGCTGTAAAAGCGTTTTTGATTCGTGTTGCTGTTTGATTGGCGACGAATGGCGGGGGCGGTCATTTGCATACGTGTCAAAATCGGCTAACTTGAGTCTTCACGCAGAACCTTATGTCACTCTCAGAGCTTCTTGCAGAATACCTGGGGCCTTTAAAAGCAAGGCCTCTCCTTCAGCTGTGGAGGTGTTGCAGCAAAGCTTCCTCTTTGTAAGCTGCAATGGGAAAGTGTGATGATGCTCCCCCGGAACATCCTTAAGTAGAATGCAAACAGTTACACAACAGTCATGGATTTCTCAACTTGGCACTCACAGAGTCTAAACGAAGCAGTCTTGTATTTAAATAAAATTTTAGCCCCTTAGACTACCTTCATTGGTGTGTAGTCCCTCTGTGTTGACGTAGGAGTAACCAACACGAATTACTTTAAAGGCTCTCAGGATAAGTCGCTTTTCCTAAGTCTCTCACTTTTTCCTGGGTTTTTGGGCTTCGTTCCCCAGGATTCCGACGCATGTGCCAGCTTTTGCAGGGCTCTAGGTACTACTGCTAGAGTGGTCTCCTTTCTCCTTTTACTGAGTAAGCTGCTTTATAAAATAACTTCAGCTTTTTTGTTTATTTATTATTTATGACCAGTAAGGGGATCTTAACCCTTGACTTTGTGTTGTCAGCACCACGCTCTCTCAAGTGAGCTAACCGGCTTTCCCTATAAAGGGATCTGAACCCGTGGCCCTGGAGCTATCAGTACCGCACTCTCCCAAGTGAGCCACGGGCCAGCCCTAACTTCAGCTTTTAAGAATTCAGCTTCTGTTTCAAAGTTACTTTATTGAATCAAATGTAGCGGTCCCTGCTTATTAACCATTTACACCCACAATATAACCATAATACATCAGTTACCAAGGCAGCTTTCTACTATACAACGATATAATAAATAACTCCTAGGGAAGACCGCAGTTTATCAAAATATACCACGTGCCTTCAGTAGCTTTTACCTGGAGATTCCTAGAGAATATTTCATAAATGCTTCAGATCGCGTGATATGTGCCCTTCCCCAATGTCCTGAATAAAAGAATGACTTTCATGTTTTAGGTAATGCAAAAAACTTTGCTCTTTATCACCACAACTATCTTAACTTTTAAAAAGTTTTAATTTTTATCAAGTTAATATATAAACAGTTTAAAAAATAAAATAGTACTAAAAAGCAGCAAAAACAGCATTTCCTTACCCTAGCCATGATCCTGCTGCTCAGAGGCACCTACTTCCAATATAGTTGCTTTTTCTGGTATTCTCTTCTACCTAAACAATATACTTATACTGCCGATTCTTGATTTATCAACTTTAGATACTAATGTTTACTTTCTATTATGGTCAACAAGAACCTGGAGTTCTCTTATACCTTGCCTCTTCCCAATATGAATATGGCACAGGATTTCTTTTTAAAATCAGTGATAGCCTTATTGTGATGAACTAAGCAGCGTAAGATGGTTACAATTCCTTTCTTATACATTTTGTTTTTCCTGGAGTTAAAAATTGCCTTTGCTCTAATTTGCTTAATTTTCTTGAACATTTAAACATGTTTTTCCACATCCTCCAGCTGCCTCTCAATGAATCTTTCTATCAGATCATCTCCCTTCCATGTTTTCTCTCCCAGAAAAGGTCTCTCCTGGAGGCCTCATCTTTACTCCAGTCTCTCTCTAGCTCTGCTACTCACTTGCCGTTCTGGGACTTTCCTTTTGCCATGATAAGCAGAATTCTTTTTATCTCTGTCCAAATTGGCTCTTATTTCTTGGATTCCATATATCTTCCTCATTTTTTGGCTAAAGCCCTCATTTTTTCCCCCCTGGAGTACATCCTCCAATACCTGCTCTGAGTAAGGATGTATGGGATCTTACATGTGAAGGTGAGTTTATTCTTTTATCAAATTTAGTTGGTAGTTTGACCAGTTAAGAATTATGGGTGAAAAATAATTGTCACTAAGAATTTTGAAGGCATTGCTCCCTGATAGCATCAGGGTTGCTATCAGAAGTCTGATGCCATTTTGATTCCTTTTCTTTGTGTGTGACAAAAGTAGATGCTGTCAGCGCCTGTCCATAACCCCTCCACAGTCCTCATTTCCTGCATGCCAGGGCTTCTTACCGTAAGTGCCCCTGAAGCTCTGCCAAGGGCTCTGTCTAGCCCTGGGTGTCTGTGCAGCTCATGCACATTGCAAGCTGAAGTGCCAGGCAGTTTAATGCCTTCAGAGTAGCCCTCGACCAATAAGGAAAGAACTTGGTGGTTAATATCCCTTGGGTGGGGCAACTCTGAGGTGTGTTCTACACTGTCTCCCAAAAAATCCCTCCTGGGACTGAGCCCTAGTTGCCCACATATGTAACCTGCACATTAACCTTCTTTTCTTCCCCTATTTCACTTACCACTTTATTAATATTCCTTTCAGTTTGCCTCCCAAATAAACTACTTGTAGATTTTGTGAAGAGACGAAGGCTGAGCGGTCGTTGCAGCGCTGCCGACTTCAAGCAGCAGTCAGCTTGTCTGCTAGAACCCGGGAGAAGGAGATTCAGAATCGCCAAATAAACTACTTGTAGATTTTGTGAAGAGACGAAGGCTGAGCGGTCGTTGCAGCGCTGCGGACTTCAAGCAGCGGTCAGCTTGTCTACTAGAACCCGGGAGCAGGAGATTCAGAATCAAATCTCTTCTCCCTTCACCTTCCTGTGAGATTTTTTTGATCTTCAGCTACACTTTGTGTGAAGAACCTTATCATCAAACACAATGGCTAGTAATGTTACCAACAAGACAGATCCTCGCTCCATGAACTCCCGTGTATTCATTGGGAATCTCAACACTCTAGTGGTCAAGAAGTCTGATGTGGAGGCAATCTTCTCGAAGTATGGCAAAATTGTGGGTTGCTCTGTTCATAAGGGCTTTGCCTTCGTTCAGTATGTTAATGAGAGAAATGCCCGGGCAGCTGTAGCAGGAGAGGATGGCAGAATGATTGCTGGCCAGGTTTTAGATGTTAATCTGGCTGCAGAGCCAAAAGTGAACCGAGGAAAAGCAGGTGTGAAACGATCTGCAGTGGAGATGTACGGCTCCTCTTTTGACTTGGACTATGACTTTCAACGGGATTATTATGACAGGATGTACAGTTATCCAGCACGTGTTCCTCCTCCTCCTCCTATTGCTCGGGCTGTAGTCCCTTCGAAACGACAGCGTGCATCAGGAAATACCTCACGAAGGGGAAAAAGTGGCTTCAATTCTAAGAGTGGACAGCGTGGATCTTCCAAATCTGGAAAGTTGAAAGGAGATGACCTTCAGGCCATTAAGAAGGAATTGACCCAGATAAAGCAAAAAGTGGATTCTCTACTGGAAAGCCTGGAAAAAATTGAAAAGGAACAGAGCAAACAAGGAGTAGAGGTGAAGAATGATAAGTCAGAAGAGGAGCAGAGCAGCATCTCCCTGAAGAAAGATGAGACTAATGTGAAGATGGAGTCTGAGGGGGGTGCAGATGACTCTGCTGAGGAGGGGGACCTACTGGATGATGATGATAATGAAGATCGGGGGGATGACCAGGTGAAAACCATGCTGGAGTTGATCAAGGATGATGAAAAAGAGGCTGAGGAAGGAGAGGATGACAGAGACAGCGCCAATGGCGAGGATGACTCTTAAGCACATAGTGGGGTTTAGAAATCTTATCCCATTATTCTTTACCTAGGCGCTTGTCTATAAGATCAAATTTTTCACCAGATCCTCTCCCCTAGTATCTTCAGCACATGCTCACTGTTCTCCCCATCCTTGTCCTTCCCATGTTCATTAATTCATATTGCCCTGCGCCTAGTACCATTTTCACTTCCTTTGATGCTCCTAGTAGTTTTGTTAAGTCTTGCCCTGTAATTTTTGCTTTTAATTTTGATACCTCTTTATGACTTAACAATAAAAAGGATGTATGGTTTTTATCAGCTGTCTCCAAAATAATCTCTTGTTATGCAGGGAGCACAGTTCTTTCCATTCATTCAAGAGTTCAGTAGTTGCTTCCCTAACTGCATCATAAATCTTCCCCATTTTCATGAAAAATACAATCCAAACTCTTAAGGCCCTCCATGTTTTCAGCCCTACAGATTTTCCTATCTACTCTTTGGTGGCTGGCCAGTACAGGGACCCAAACCTTTGACCTTGGTGTTATAACACTGTGCTCTAACCAACTGAGCTAACCCTCCAGCCCCCTACCCACTCTTTGAACATTTGCCTCATGCACCTACGTGTTTCAGCCAAGTTGATCACAAGTCTTACCTCAGGCTCATAGAATAACTGAAAGGTCCTTTTCCTGCTCTTCCTATTGCAGTTGCCACACAAGTTGGAATAACTCCCTCCCTCCTAGGTGGTGGGGCTGTTCAAAACAAATGTAACAATGTATTTTTGTGAATGAGAATTGGCATGTCAAATGCATCCTCTAGAAAAATAATTAGTGTAATAGTCTTAAGATTTGTTTTCTAAAGTTGATACTGTGGGTTATTTTTGTGAACAGCCTGATGTTTGGGACCTTTTCCCTCAAAATAAGCAAGTCCTTATTAAACCAGGAATTTGGAGAAAAAAACAAAACAAAAACAAAAACAAATAAACTACTTGTACTCAAATCCTAGAATCTAGATGTGCTTCTGGGAATACCTAACCTAAGACAGGACCTGTATTCTACTTCCCTTCTCTTTTTTTCCTTGATGTTCTGAAATTTCACAGTGTGTTTTTAACTTTTTTCTTTTAAATCCGTAGAATGGGTCACTCAGGTGACCTCTCCAATCTGGATCTTCAGTTGTAGAAGTGTTTCCCTTAAAATTTCTTTCCCATTAGGCTGTGTTCTCTTTTAGCATCTCTTATTTGTTGGATGTAGGATCTTATGAATTTATCCTTATTCTTTTATGTTTTCTTAAGAAAATCAAACGGTATTTTTTTCCATCTGTTTACTTTATTCTAGCCAGGACCAGATCTTGTTCAACTCTGTCATTTTGTCTTTTCTGAGAGATTTCCTCAACTTCGTCTTCTAGTATACTTATATTGATTTTTATTTAGGCTCTTTTGTTCATTCAATACATGGATATCTTTTTTTTTTCCTGATTGTTACTTTTATAACATCCTCTTCCTGTTTTTTGAATGTTATTTCTTTCATGACTCTGAGATATAGGTACAAAGTCTTCTTCTGCTTTGAGTTCTTTCTTTCGTTGTTTGGGTGTCTGACTTTCATGTAGGAAGCTTCCCACATACATCTAGTGATCCTTGACTGTTCATTCATACTGAAGGATGAAGCACTAAGCCGACTGGAAATTCTGTATGTCTGAATGGGGCTTGTTGGTTGGTGAGTTTTACTGTGGTGGAAGGGCTTAAGGGTCTACTATTTAGGATCAGAAATTTTGTTTAATCCCTCTCTTTTCACTCAATGCCCCACTCTGTGCTGTACCTAGTATTCCAAGCCTAGAATTTCTCTGGTTCAATATTTCCAGAGATTAAATTTCCTGTTTCCTATAAGGTTGGGAGAAAGCAAAAGTCACCTAGCTTTCCAAGGTAGTGGTAGGACCTGGTGTCAGAGAGCTCCTTATACATCCTTTCAACCAATTCTCTTGTCCTCAGCCTCTCATGTCACTCTCTCACCCACCCAGCAGTACCTACTAGTTCCAGTGCCTGAAGTGGCCCTAAAGTTCTCACCTTTGGCTTTTCCTATGTACAGAATATTAAGAGAAATGATTGAACTGAGGAAATTGTTATATTGGCAACATTTCAAGATTTTAAATACCATACATTGCTTTATCTTATGTCCTATTTCAGAATCTCATCATCTATTACCTGAACCTCATTCCACAAATTATGCCCCATTTAATCTTAATGTCCTGGCCAGTATTAATAGGTAGTCTACAACAACAACAAAAACAACAACAAAGATGCTTTGGTCAAACAAGTTTGGGATGCATTGGGTCAAGCAAAGTTATATTTTTACTGCAGGACTTCCAAGAGAAAGTTAATATGGTAATGTGCATTATAACTCTCAAGAAGACCTCTCTGGCCCTTTTCTTCTGAGGAATACCAGTGTTCCTCGGAATGTACTGGGCAGTCCTGAACTGTATCATTTTAATAACTTCCTAATGGGGTTTTCTCCTCTAGTCTCTCTTATCTTAATCCATTCTTTACATTGCTTTTATTTCTAACTCATAAAGCTAACCTTGGAACTTCATTTCTCATAAATCTTCCCCATTTTCATGAAAAATACAATCCAAACTCTTAAGGCCCTCCATGTTTTCAGCCCTACAGATTTTCCTATCTACTCTTTGGTGGCTGGCCAGTACAGGGACCCAAACCTTTGACCTTGGTGTTATAACACTGTGCTCTAACCAACTGAGCTAACCCTCCAGCCCCCTACCCACTCTTTGAACATTTGCCTCATGCACCTACGTGTTTCAGCCAAGTTGATCACAAGTCTTACCTCAGGCTCATAGAATAACTGAAAGGTCCTTTTCCTGCTCTTCCTATTGCAGTTGCCACACAAGTTGGAATAACTCCCTCCCTCCTAGGTGTGTTCACTATTTTGCTTGTGACTCTGTTAGAACTATTGCATTCAGCCTTTTAGCTTCTTGTCTCACTGGTAGGGTTGAAATCCCCTGAGGGCAAGACAATATCTTTCTCATCTCATAATTCTAGCATGTGTCTTGTATTGGGTAAATGCTCAAAGAAAATTCACTCTAAACGAATCAGAAATTAAAGTGCTTTTTGGGGGTCTAATCTGAAACAATAAGAGGTAGCTATAGTAAACATTATTGAGGAATGGATTGATATATTTCTAGGTTATCTGGGCACCTTATTCTTTTTCGGCCCTTTCTATGGTTTTCAGCAGATTCACCCCTTCCAAACCAGGGTGAAAGGACACCAAGAACAAGATTGTTATAAGATTTGCTGCTATTTAGTAATTTTAAAAAAGTTAAGTATTTAGTCAGGAAAAAAAAGGTTGAACTTAAAGTATTAGATTCCACTAATTTTATTCATGCTACTCCTACCTCTCGCTGGCACAAATAATCAAGATCAAATGGCATGTTGACAGATGCATCTTTTCTTTACTAAGCCACTGAAATGCTAGCTCCAAGCTCCTTCTTATTGACACTCCGAACTGGTAGAATATTGTGACAACAAGGCCTAAAAGGAATCTAAAGCTAGGTAGAGTTTATATTTTAGAATGAGCATGACAAATTTGAGTGTCATAAATTAAAACACCCACAATATCTAACTGATTGATACTCAGATCAGTGTGGTTAACTTTGAAGTAGAAAATACATCAGGAAGAAAGATTTTATGCTATCTCAAAATATAGAAATAGTGACTTTGTTCTCACTACAGGATGCCTGTATCAGTCGAGGCTGCTGACTCCCCAACTCTTAGGAGGTGTGGGTGGTGGGAGGATGAGCTTCTGCAGTCAGTCTGGCAAGCTGGCTGGCCTCTCTTCTTGAACAGCTTCCATCTATGGCACATGCTTTCCTTGTCTTCTGCTTATATCTCTGGCCTCTCCCTGTTAGTTTCTTGTTGGTTTTTCCTGCTCTTCCTGACTTCTCTATTGGAAATGGAGTTCCTTGGGCTTGGTTCCAGACTCCTTTTCTGGGTTCCAGACATGTACATGGATCCTAGGCACCTCAAACCCATCAAGGCCACATGACTGTCCTCCTGTCCCCTCCTTACCCTTCTGCCTCTGCACACCTTACTGGATAACTTCTATTTATTCTCAGGCTTCACCTTTATTTGTTCAACAAATATTGACTGAATGCTTAATATGTGCTTAATGTCCCATCCTCAAGGAAGCCTTACCTGATGTCCCAGATTAAATTAGGTGCCCCCGTTCTCAGGTAAACTATATTCATCCTGTTAAAGCATTTATCACAACAGAAATTGTGTGATTGGTTTTTTAAAAATATGTCTCTCCCACTATACTTAAGATCCACGAGAACAGGGGTGATACATATTTATCATTATATCCCCAGTGCCTAGGATAGTGCTTAGTACATAGTAGGTGCTCAATAAATGTTCATGAACTACATGAATATAAAAGGATTGAACAGAATTGCTTATTAATCTAGTTGAGGAAAGACAACTTTCCCACATGCAACAGATCTTTACAAAGCAATGTTGACAAGAAAGTGGTTAGCCTTTTAAAGTCCTATCTGATCCTAAGACTCTGTGATCTTATACAGATGGTCTCCAATTTACAATGGTTCGACGACAATTTTTCAATTTTAGTATGGGTTTACTGAGGTATTAAATGCATTTCAACTTAATTATATTTTCAACTTATGATGGGTTTATCAGGATGTAACCCCACCATAAGTCAAAGAGCATCTGTACTCATACACAAGCTATTTTACAGCACTCTGTACATTCTGGGGTGACGCATAGCAAAGGCATGATCAAAGTTGGGTATAGTTAATTTGGGAATATTTCCTAATCCAAGTAGATGAAACTAAGCTCAGCTTAAAGCATGGTTTCTCAGTCTGGGTACCATTGACATTTTTGGGCCAGATAATTCTTTGTGTTGGGGCTGTCCCATACCCTGTAGGATATTTAGCAGCATCCCTGGCCTCTACCCACTAGATGTAGCAACTCCCAGTTCTGACAATCAAAAATGCCTCCAGATATTGCCAAATATTCCTCAGCGGGCAGAATCACCCCTGGATGA